ATTACCAGTGTTCTCCTAATCCACTTCTAGTAGGGATTTATCAGAGACCAACAAAGTGGTCTCCTTGGTATGTTTGTCTCCTATCAGGCAGTAACAAAGACTTTTCAGTTATCTGATTCACCCAGTTTTGGCACTGCTAAGCCAAAGGAAACTGAGTTTTTCTTTAGTTAAAAATTACAGTGTAGGACTAAGGAAGGGGGAAAGGCTTATAGGCCTTTCTTAGGTGTGTCCATCACCCTTCTAGTCAAATAATTAATGAAGCAGTCTGTTTGTCAAGTGTTTTTCCTGATGATGTGGAAGACTATGTTGCAGACAGAGGTAAGGGCCCAGTCATCAATTTGTACAAAGTATTTTTACAAATGATAGTCTGTAGACAGACTTTTTCAGTGCTTATCGCTCTTTAGTAGCACAGCAGTCAGGACTTCCAAAACAGAAATTCCGATTAATGCCATGAAAACAAGTATGACAGCTGGCAACGGAGACTAAAAGTTCTTCTTAGCATCCCGCTGCAGGGACTGGGACCAGTGCATGCAAGTTGATGGGAACCTTCTGCCTCTTGATTGCAGTGAGCTTGGTGCTGTTTTCACACCATAAGCAGAGAAGGTCTCCTCAAGCCTCACATCCTGCAGCACAAACAAAGCAATGGAGAAATTAAATATATATATTTAAAAAAAAAAACCCTTCTGCTATAGTAAATCTTGCAGCATTCACACAATTGGACATGGAAAACTTGGACTAAGAAAGCAGAGGTGAACAAGAAGTCCAACTTTTGTGTAGGTAACGTGACAAGTGGCTACTGTCCAGAGCACTGAATTGGGGCAGGAGTTGGTTTATGTCGTGTCCCCGAGTGCACCAGCAGGCTCTCTGTGCTGAGGGCCAGCTCTGGTACGGTACAGCTCTTCAGCCTTGGAGCAGACTTGTGGGAGAAAGAGCTGTGGTTAGAAATACCTGTGAGAAGCCTTGTCGGGGCCTCACCCACTTTGACTGGGAGTTGCTTTTAAGTTCAGGTCCTTGGCCTTGGTCCATGCTGAACTTCTTTGTGGATACACGTGTCAAGCCGTGTATCTCCCTCCCTGGGTCTTGACCCACTGACTTGACTTTTAGGTCAAGACTTGACAGGTCAAGACTTGACAGACTTACGCTGGGTCTTGACCCACTGACTTGACTTTTAGGCTTCATCTTACACCTGCCTCATGACTGTGGATTTGCCTGGCAGTCTGGACTTTTGGCCAACCATGGGTACTCTCACTGGACCTGTGGATCTCACTTGGATCCTGTGGAAACACAGCACATTTCAGTGAGGCCACTGCCTCTACTTGCCTTGTTGTCACCGTTGGCTCTCAGCTTGCCTTTCCTGTTGGAGCTGTACCTGCACTTGCTGCTGCCCAACACCTGAGATTCAGGACAAAGAAAAATGTCACCTGGGCTAATCTCAGTCCAAGATAGCCTGAGGTTGTCAGTTCTTAAAACTGGTGCTGGACACAAGAGGTTTAATGCATCCTCCTTGCCTAGTCCTCAGTGATATTAAGTCCCAGCCCCCAAACCATTTAGTATTAAACTTAATTCTTTTTATAACAAACCAGAATCACAGAACTGCCTGGATTTCATTTAATGGATTAGACTGACAAACACTTGTCACTGAATGTACTTTGCAGGAAAGGAGCTTACATATTGGACCCTTGATCATCCTCACTGCTAATTATTGACTCCTCTTCTGCCTCTGTTTTGGACCACTCCAGAGAGTTGTTATCTGAGACAAGGCTCCCATGGAGGCTAAGGAGATGGGTATGAGCTCATCTGTGCTGTTGGGTACTGGTGCCAGAGTTCAAATATATTACAAAATGCATAAATATTGTTTGCTGATTCCCCAGTAGGGACTCTTATATGGTTTAGAAGTATCACTTAAATAAATTCATCAGATTGGTTATCTTAATGTGAAATCTTCCTGACTTCTCGCAGAGTAAGTGTGTTAGCACAGTCAAAAACTGCTGTAATACAGAAATCATCATAAAATTGTGAAGGGGAGGTCTGCAAAATTATTTCTGTGGGGCAAGGTGGAGTATTGGTATGGAAATCTCCTTCTGCACATTTTTTTTAACTGGAATTTGTGATGTTTACTTTATTTAAAACATTTTTTACTGTTGCTTTAGGTCAAACTAAAATTCACAGATCTTCATGTATTTCTGCTGTGATAGTTAAAGTTGTCTGAGAGTCTTTACAGAGTCCCCATCCACTCTGGAAATCCATGGCCTTGATCTCTGTCTTCTGTGGATCTGAGACATTAGCTGCACTTCCTAATTTTTCCTTACCTTGACTCTGTGGGATTGGCCCCAGTCCCGTAGTTCCATCTGCAGTTCCCTGAATCTCTGCTCCTTTGAGCCTGACTTTGTGCATATCCATCATGTAATTAGAGGCAAATCTATGAGGGGAAACAATTTTCTTGCAGTTAAGGATCAAGAAGCATGATGTGCCTGGTTTTGGTGCATTTTGTAAAGTAATACACAGATGAGAAGTGTTGGTATTAATTTTAAACATCGGCGTTCACATACCATTAAGTGTTTCAGTCTTTAATACCTGTTGTTGTATGTTACATTTTCTTACCTTGTTAATATAGTTAAGAGCTGATGGGTTATGTTTGTTACACTTTTTAAAGATAATTGAAATATTCTGAGAGCAACTGAATATTTTCACAACTATTTTGATCTAATTTGTCTGGTCTGTTACTTCTTGGAAAGGGTTAGTAGTCTTCACATGGAACTCTTACATAAGTCTATATCTATAGTTTATCAAGATATCTGCTGTAAACCTTCGAAACTTAATAGTTAACTAATGAATTCTGTATGCATTAATTGAAAATGCATTGTAAGTTTAGGGTAAGGAGGTAGACAAGTCTCTTTGTAGTGTTATGTGACAGCGCACAGGATAGAGAAGATGCAGAACCAAACTGGAATAGGCAGCTCGGTAGTAAAGCTGAGGGCACAGCTGGAAAGGTACATTTATTTGTCTTCAGAGACACTGGAATGCTGATAAATTAATTCATTTATTTTAGATTATATATTTCATACACATTATTCTGTATGACATCTGACAAAGAAATGTGTCGTAGTCCTGTTATCATTTTTTAATTCACTGATTTAATGTGAATGACCCTTGGCAGCATTATTTTCCCCCCTCAGGTCTTTTCAAAAGAATAAAAACATGATTCTATGATTAGTGCAGCGTTCTTGCTGAACTATGCAACTTAGTAGATTTACGGAAAGTCAAAGTTAATGACTTAAAACTCAACATAATTCTGAGTTGGGGGTAATTATAGATGGGGAAGTACAGGACATGTGATTTTCCAAGATGACGGAGTAGCGCAGTGGTGTCAGTAGAAGGTCTGAGATCCCTCACTGGGTTTAAACTACAAACCAATTCTCCTTTTCACTACGCTACACTGTTCAGCTAATGCAAGGCTTACACAGAATCCTTTGGTTAAAACCTCGTGACTTTTAAGCAAGTGTTGTGTACAGTACGCAAAATAGAAGTGTAGATAAGGAATACTTTTTTAAATTCAAAACCACGAACAGTGGAAACTACATCTTGAAAACGGGTTATGACTCCTAGCTATTGCACATCTTCACAGGGAAAAATGCGCAATGGCTAAGGGACTGGAGCCCTTCACAAGCTGGAGTTTGGAATCCCATGACTCCCCAGATGCTTTTTTAAGTGTGCTATTGCACTGCCCCCTGTGGTGTCTGGGCTGGTTGGGTCTCCTCTGGAGAGAAAGAAAACAAAGGAAACGGCAGGAAAACCAAATAAATGAAGGGTTGGGGTTTTTTTGTCTAGGAGCAGGTTTAGCTGCTGATGATCTGATTGAGCAGAGAACATTTAATGCTCTAGGGGTGCACAAAGGCAGGAAGAGCCCTTGCTGAGAGAGAAAATAAAAACCTCTTAAGAGGAAGGTCTTCTGAGAAACAACAGTATAGAACTAAAATAGAGCAACTAGAGGAAGGAAGTCCATGTCCTATATATGCAGACAGGGAGGGGGATCTTCTCCATAGTAACAGAGGGAACAGGGGAGGAGGAAAAGGACAACACAAACTGCAAAAGATGTTTGAACAAATAGTAGAGAAAAGAGAGATTTGGGGTTTGCTCCTCTATCCCGTTTGCAGGGCCTGTGTTTTGGTGTGATACAAAATCCCTTAAAAAAATGTTTGTTTAAGCTGATAAAATGAAGATAGATTATTTCTGAACAATTGTAAAGCTTGTACATTAGTATTTGTGCTTATTACTACAAGACGTAAAGCTCACTTGTTAAAAGAAAGTTTCAGTTCTGTGATTTACACCATACGTACATTGCTGTTGTGTATTTGTATTATTACTATGTAGTTACAAAATGTTTTGGCACTGGAATACGGCAATACAACGGTATTTAATACTTGAAAGTTAAGTGAGGTGGTTTGTGCATCACAACAGTCACGCTGGTGTCACAGAAGTAATCACTCACACGGAAATCACAGGTATCCTGAAGGTTGGGCTTGTTCTAAGTTTCCTGATGTGGTTTTGCTGATGCACTGAGAATCCATTTTCACTTTCCCCCCCAACTTATTTCTTGCCCCCTTTTTCCCTGGTTAACTCCAGCAGCAGTCTTGCAAAGCACTTGCAGGACGCACTGTTGGGTCTCTTGCCAGGCAGATCCCTGGTGGCAAAGAGAGCAGGGCCTTCAGCCTCAGAAATCTAGCACTGTGGTAGACAAAATCTTTCACAATGGATGTGAAACATCCTTTCCTCCTTCTGTTAGCACTCTCCTTAATTTACAGGGATTCCTTCTAGTAGCTACTAAAGCAGTAATCGGTCCCAATTTTGACTTCGTAAGACGCTGCAGCAGTTTGTGTTGTTTAAAATAAAAGTATTTTACTCAAACTTTTGCCTTTCCTATTATGTGGGATGGATGATCTTTTTGTTTAAAAATATCTACAGTACTTCTTGCAAAGACTGACAGCAGCGTCTGCTTTCAGGGTGGGATGATTAACTGGAATAGACTGTTTCCTCCCTTACGTCATAGACATAATGCGAATTATCAAGATCATCGCCCGCCTGAACAAGACACACCTCCACCTACTGAGGTTTCTGAAGAGCAGGTAAAAATTTTTCTATTTTAAAATGGCATTAAAAACGATTAGGAATTACCTCTACTAATTTTTTATCATCTGTTGACACAGTTTCTTAAACATTCTCTATAGCAGCGCAAATTAGAATATCAGATAATGGTCACAAGTACAGAGACAGCAAATTGTCATTACCATCCAAAGCAGACTGACAGATCAACTTGGGAGTTTCTGCTTTTATGTGTAACTCTTTTGTATTGAACAATGAGACAGCTTCACTAGTGGAGGCTATTCAAATTTGATAAAATAAGTTTCAAAGAAGAAAAAAGACAAATAGATTTCATTATTTGTCTTGTAGAGACGCAGCCTTTCCTTCACTAAGGTCTCAAGCTTAAGTTTGCGATTCACTCATGTAGTTTTTTGGAAATGAGAATGCTATGCCAGCTGTGGACTGCAGCAGGCACTTGGTCTAAAACTTGGAATTTTCCCTCAATAACGTGTTTGACTGATTTCACATGCTGATGCCACAGGGAAGTTTGTGTCTTTTCTGTCAAGTATCGATTTAGAGTTATTGTATAGATTTAGACGTTTAGACTGTTGTTGATAGTTTTATTCTGAGAAGAGAGGATGATTTACTAGGAAATTAAGTATTTAATAATAGTCTTGTTTCTATATTCAGGATTTATTGCGAGCAGTCAGGTTCTCCAGCTTGTAGCCCTATCTGCAGTTAGCTGCACTGTCCATTTTATAGTCTAAGGTCTCAGCTTCCCTTGAACATGAGTAGGTTTCAAGGGCGAGTTTTTCTTTCCTGTTTTTCTTTCCCTTTTTCCTTTTTTTTTTAGGGAGATAAATCAACATTTGCTAGCAGCATGCTGTCATTTCTAGTTAGTTTAAAATACTGTCCCAAACAGAAATCTTTGCTGTGATCTGATTTGTAGTTTTGATTCAATATTAGATTATATTCAAAATATTCAAAATTTTAACGGCAGTGGTGGTTTTGACTGCAAACCTGCTGGGCTACATCCAAAAAGGAAGAAAAACCAACAACAACAACCAACAACAAACAAACAAAAAAGAAAAACCCCATGCCAAAGAACACCTTCTCAGACAAAACCTAGAAACTTAGTTTTGGCTGTCCTGAGAGCCTACTCAGTGCCCAGTATGGGGTGAACCAAAAGATTTCCTTGCTGGGTTGGTTTCTTTATTTCTTATTGCCAAATTCTGCTTATGGGAACTTTCATTGTTGGGCTGGAACTAATTAAATAGTTATTAGTCTTACTTAGGGTGGATTCTTCCCCAAAGCCTTAAGGCCCAGATTTATGAAAGCAATATACACTTACATTTTTCTCATGCATTGAAGTTGTAGAGCTCACCTGATTGCTGTCATTTGTGATGCCATCTAGTTACCCTGGGGGAAAAAAAAAAAAAAAAAGAGTAATCTAAGCACCTTTGATTTCTCAGGACTATACTAATAACTGCACAAATTATCTTAGAATGGCAGAAATGCAGAGTTTTCTTCCACTCTTCAGATTAAAATTTGCAAGCATTTGCAGTGCTTTTGGTACAAAAATCTCTGCATTTCTTGTGGGTGTTTTAGCACCTTAAATTACTGTTACCAGTTTACATCTCTGTTTCCTGGAGCTGGATTCATTTCTTGTGATTAAAATATACTCAGATTAAAAGAGCTTTTTGTTGTTACCATCTGTTCCTGGTGACACTCGCTGGATATTTTTGTAAATATGAACATTGCAATTCCATCCACCACTTCTTCAGGTTAGAATTCATGGCAACTGTGGTTAAAACCTTTCTTCTGATATGTATTTCTGTGGGTTAGCTTTTATTCCACTGCCTGCCCTTTTTCTCATAAAAACATGATCTTAGATGAAAATCAGACAGAGGAAACTTTAGAAAGTTGCAGGTTATGAAATCCAGTTTGAAGTTACACTGTTGTTGCAGAGGTACTGAAAGTAACAGTTCATTTCTCTCTCTACAAGAAGGTGAGAAACTGACATTTGGCTTTAAGGGGGGGGAAAGGCACAAAAATGGTTGGCACCATATTTCATACTGTGACAGCCAAGGTAGCCATTTTCAAACGTTTTGTAATGGTGTATTTAATTGAAGAGAACGAGGACCTCCCCCTCTAGGCGTGCTTGGCAGTAGTGTATTTCTCAGTAAGCTGCCAAAGCGGAGAAGATGAAAAATGCTGAAAGTTCTGGAGGTGTCTTAGAGGAAGGGGACGTTGCTTTTAATGGCACCTTTCTTTTAAAAGGTCTTCAAAGTGCTTTCAGTAGTAGTGCACGTTGGTCTTGCACCCTGGGAAGAGTCCTCCTGAGATGTCAACAGCCTCTGCTGTGTTCCTGCTCAGCTTCATTCTGCTGCTGCTACAGGCTCCCTACAAGCAGAGCAGGAGCAGCAGCAGCTCCCAGACAGCTCCTGTAGCCCAGGACTTTCCAGGTTCAGGAACTGTGGTGTCTGGTCACAGCCCATGTGGAACAGGATGGAGAATGCTTTGGGCTGCTAGTGGCCACAGTTAATTTTATGTGCAGCTCCCTGCCTTCCCTCTGCCCTTCCTCCTCCCTCTCTAGAAGATGAAATATAAAAGTGAATGAGTTATTTTGTGACTTTCACTCATACCTAACTGAGAATTGTAAATTTTAAATATTCTTAAGATTGGAATTTAACCATAAATTTAATTTTATTATACGTACATTGCTTTTTACATGTGGTAATTTGAATACCTGCTAGCACAGAGTAAAAAGGTTAGGTGTTGAGTACATGATATTATAAAGAGGGACAGTCAAATGGTTAATGATTACCAAAATCACTGTCTTAACGTGCCCTTTTCTGGGTAATTTTTTCAGGTCACTGACTTAGGCTGTTTTGAGAATATTTAGAATCTTTCCAAGAATTTTACTGTGAACTCATTTAAGTATTGTACTGCCTCTGATTTAGGGCTAACTTTCAGGGTTTGGTGAATGGTTTTGTGTTTTTAATGCCCCCTGGAGAAGTAGGTCTTTTCAGGGAAAGCAGAGCTAAGGATGTCTGGACAGGTTTTCGCATCTGCTATAAAATTCCAGATTCTGGTCAGTGTTGGGTTCTTGAGGTCCTATTCTTGTCATGAGCAGCAAGCCCCAATGTCAGACTGTCATTTTCATGTGTGGTGCCATACTTTCTGTTTTACCCTTCTTTCAAAACTGGACCCAGCTAGGAAAATGCAGGTGTGGCATATTTAGCAAATGGTTGGTTTGGAATGAAGTGTCAGATAGCAGTGCAGTCACCTCTGTGGCAATGTTTTCAAGCATGCTGTCCCAGATGTGTCTTCGTGGCAGTGCGTAGCTGTGCTTGCTTGCTCCCTGGAAAGGTAAGCTTTTGAACAGCCTGGTCAGTGGAAAAGTGATCTCTGACACTGTTAACATGACTAACACACACACGGTGTGAATAGAACTCTGGTTTTAAAGTGGTGTTATGTTCTTTCTTTACCAGGTTGCACGACTTATGGAAATGGGATTTTCCAGGGGAGATGCTCTAGAAGCTCTGAGGGCTTCAAACAATGACTTAAATGTAGCCACTAATTTTCTACTGCAGCACTGATGGTTTTCTGTGTGAAGGAACTTCCCTTGATGGGTTTGTACACGTCTGAAAGAGGATCAAAGCCACCTGCTGGACAGACTCATGAAGGTCATGCCCCCAAGAGCGTCAGAAAGGAGAAACTGGCTCCGCGTGACTGGTGATTCAAAGTGATGTTAATGAATGATGTGAACTGTTCCCAAGCCTTCAGATCACTCGGTGGTTTCTAGTCTGGTTATCCTTTTCAAAGTAACTTTAGTTTCTACTTATTACTGGATATCACCTAAATTTATTTTTAAAATAAAGTACAATTTTTTCTTTAAATCCTTGTTAGACATGTTAGACAGACTTAATGACTAGGAAAAGGAGCTCCAACAACCACAATGACTAGATTTACCTATCAAGAAAATGCATATTTTCTTCACTTACCAGTCTAATTTCTCTAGCTTACATGTTATTTTACAGTACTTGATTTTTTTATTACAGTAATAAGAGGTTTGAAGATCACTTCATTTTCAGCTCAGTAAAGGGTTATGGGACTACTATGTCCTTCTTCAGAAAGTTTTATTAATGCCTGTAATGTTTTCTCTCTTGAATTCCTTTTTGAATAAAAGTTGTCATTCAGCACATCATACACAGATAGGATGAGATTCATGGGCGCATTGCAAGCTGTGCTAAGTGACCACTGAGTAAATTGCTATTCAGATATAGGTCATGAAAATACTCACTGGAAGCAATAAAGGTGAATCAAATGATACGATAAGATCAGAACTGAAATGATTTTAATGACTTCCATGTCTAATTCAGACGGACTTCTGTGACGATGGATGTATGCTCAGTATCCTGTGTGCTGGTTTCCTTTTCTGACCTGCCTACATACTGTCTTAAAAGAAAATTATAAAGAGCTAACTTTATATATATATATTTCTAGTTTTCTACTGTCAAAAATGTGGATGACCCTGCATTTGCTGAATCTTCACTGTCTGAAGCAACTTACGGTTGATCATAGGCTGGAATATTAACCTTAAGGGTGATTCAGGCTAACACAGGAGGTAACAGTATGCTAATGCCAAGGTAGTACAATATTGGGTTTGAAGTTTAGATTGATAAATAAACTTACTTGGCTTGATTCTCAGAAATTCTCAATATTAGCACCTTAGGTGTTTCAGGAGGTGTGGTGGAAAGAGGTGGACATCTCTATAAAACCAAGCTGAAGTAGTCCGAGATTCCAAGCTGTGATTCCATGAAACCAATGTACTCATGTATCTCAAGCTTTTAATGTCTGTTTCTGTGCGTACTTTTGTTTGTACAGTGTGTGTATGTATGTGTCTATTTATATACACACAGGCATATTTAATGCTACATACATTAAGAATAAGATAGAGGTCATTAGAAGCATAACAAAGGCAATAGCAGGTGCAAAGTGGAGGAGGTGAAAGAATACAGGAGAGAGAAGGATGTTTTGAACATCCTGATGAACATGTGTGTACCAAAGTACAGACCCATGCAGTCTCAATTGGCCTGGAAAACATACTGGGAAATTACAGTACAAGATATAGGGAGAGGGAAGTACCTTTTTTTTTTTTAATTGAGTGATAAAACTGAAGAAAGTCCTTCAGGCATACAAGTCCTTATCCAGAAATGACACCAGATTTGTGGAGCTCTTGGCACGTGACATAATTTTTAATAAAGTCAGTGTCCTGTTTGTATTTTTTAGTATTTTCCAGGGGGTAAAATAAGGGGGTTTTGGGATGACTGTGGGTTTTCCTGGGCTTTGATCAACCTCCTTCAGGGTTTGGCTTGCTGCTGTGATCACATTATTTAGGCAGGATCTGCTTTTTAATTGAAAGGTTTTGTTTGTGTGGAGCTGAGTGGCTGTCAGTGTGTGTAGGCTGAGGACGTTTCTAAACCCAGAGAACTCTGGAAACCTGCTGTCTTAGAAAGGAAAGGGCAAATGTAAGAAAAAAAAAAAAGCCCTACAATAATTTGTATGTGGTAAACTAGTTAAATGTTTTGAAACAAGTACAGGTTTTAGTTTTTAAACATATAGATCCTTCCTTCATAAATAATTTATAAAAAGTAGGAATAAAGGCTAGTGAATTACTTCAGAAGTCAAATACTGTCTGTGGGAAATAAAGGTCCACCTAGCCCAGGCTAAATTAAGTATGGCCTGTGCCCTTTCAGAGAATGCTCTGCTCTAAGGACAAACACAGTGTTCATTCCTTGGAATTTTAAAACATGTTGAGTGGCACCCGAGACATGTAAGTGGATGTTCTCCAAGTCTAAATCCTTTCTTAGTATTATCTGTGCAAGGGGTATCCAAATGTCACGGTTGTTTGGAAAACCCCATTTTGCTGGGCATTTTGCAAAACATGGTCAAATGTAAAAGGTAAAATTCAGGTCCTGGTGATGTCAGTTGAAAATTCCCCTTGACATCTTGGGCTCAAAATACTTCCAGGGTTGTGATTTCCAATTAAAAAAAAAAAAGTGGTAAAAGGAGGGGTCTTGTACACTGTTGAACATAGTTCCTGTTTCGTACAAGAACCATAGAAGAAAGATTCACACATTAGAGCTGGAAAACAGCTCAGTTTCCACTTGATGGTTGAACTTTGATGGACCATTTCTGGGAATGCGAGGAGCAGGTTCTTCACAGCCCTACGCAGTGTTTGTCCAGTATGGTTTTGAATATCTCTTTGCATAGTTTCTCTTTTGTGTGTGACCCAATGATATTTTTAGGCAGCGAGAGAATGCAGAATACTTTTCTATGGAGAGAATTTTAAGTCCCTAGGAAGTTCACGCTGGTTTTTGTAAAGCTAAGATTTGGTATTTTCAAATAAAAGTAGTTGCTACTGTTTAAATGTCTCCACTGGACTAGGAATGTTATATCTTGAGTCAACATCAGAGTAATTTATTGGGGACTTTCCTAGGCAGTTATGTGATACTTCAAAATACACCCACAGCAAGGTTTGTATTTGTGGAAATCTGCTCGAGAAGTCGCCAGGTTCTCAAGCCTTAACTTTTTGCCAGGATGCGGAATGACTGGGCTCTGCACCTACCGAAACCATTTTCCTCTCCCAAAACAAGTGTTAAAGGTTGCCTGCTACTTATGTGAGCACATGGACTGTCACAGTTGGTTCCTGTGCTGTCCCGTGCTCATCAGTGCCTTTGTGAACATGTGATGGAGAAAAGGGCTCGTTATTTTCCTCCGAAACTGAAGAACAAGCAAGCATAACATATTGCAAGGTACCGAGCAAACGGCAATGTTTTTGGCTCTCCTGTTTGTGTATGGGTGTATATATATGCATATATGCGTATACACATATGTATATATACAGAGAATGAGAGAGAATATTTATGTATTGATTTGATGAATTTAACTGGAGCTAAGAGTTTGTTGAAGAAAATTAAAAGTCTGTATTCAGAGACTCCCATCTCTCAAACACGTGTGTATTTGGAGTATATATGCAGTTTTCAAGGCACCCAAATTTGAAAACGCTCAGAACTCCAACTCTCATGTTGTAGGGGAGCTGCATCTGTTGGAAGATAAATAAATACACAGTATTCATTTGAACTAATGGGGGGTGGGTGGTGTTGATGCATAAGTGCAATTAATTTCTTGTGTGTGTTCTTCCACAAAAAAAACCTAAAAGATATTAGCTTGCTTTAACTGGGTAGCCATAGTAATAAGTATTTTATATAAATTAGCATAAATACTATTTTATTAGGAGTCACATGAACACACAAACAATAAATGTGTTTATATATATGCACACATATGCATATTTTAATATTTTTTTTATATATATATATATATATGTGCTTACTTAAAACATATTGGGTTTGGATTAATTTTTAGTAGTCTTACATTCCTTCTGTTTCTATATATAAAGGGATGCTTTGACCATAGAAGGTCGACTCTTGGTTGAAACTCAAAGAGAGTACGTGCTACCAATAGTTTCCAGTCCAAATACAAGACAAGAAACGGATGGTGGGAGCAGAGGAAGGGTACGACCTGATGAATGGGTGTGACTGGTGAGAATCTTAACAAATTGGTAGCTCAGCTGTTGTCATTTGATTCTTTCCAAAGGAGAATTTTAACAGGAAATGAGAAGTTAGCTGGGCTCACACATATTTGTAGGGGATGGTTTCCAAACCTGAATGGTAGCATTGGAGAAAGCGGGAATATACATACCTCATCGGTGGGTGAAAAATTCCAGGATCATGGCTGAACCAAAAGCAGGATCTGACCTTTTGAGAAGAGGTAAATAGGGACCATAAATGTCATTTAGGATTAGCAAAGGAGAGGACTTGAAGGAGACTGGGGAGGTGGAACTGAGTGGAACAAAGGGTTAAGAGGAGCAAAGTAGAAGATAGACTGCAGAGGACAGAAAGATGAGACCTGCTGAGAGGAGTAGGGTAGGATGTCACATTGCGCTTAGTTCAGTTCTGAAAGAATTCATGGAGATTCTGTGTGGAAAGAGCAAATGCACAATATTGTGGCTGATCTTGTACTGAAAATCCACTTTTTCCAGGGGTGTCCAGTGCGGAAATCCTTACATTTTATTTGGAAATTTAGCATGAGGTCGTACGTGTAAGCAAGAGAGGAAACAGTGTAATCCCAGCAAGTTGGCAGTGAAGGAAACCCTGGTGTCACCACAGTATGTGAAAAAGCAGATATTTCTGGTTTTCAAAGCACAGTTAGTCCAGCCAACCTGAGTCTTCTCCTGGCACCCCCATCCCAACTGCGGAGACATCTGCTCCAGAGAGGACACTGCTCTCCGCAGGTCCCACTGCTCTTCCCACAGAAGGTTATTTATAAATCCCCGTGCCATGAGGGCACACAGCCTGCCTGAGGAAGCACGTGTCCTGCATAAAGGAGGTGGATCAAGAGCTCGTGCTTGTCCCTCACCACTTAACAAGCATTTGCTTTGCTTGTAGGGAGAGTCACACGTGCACCTCTGAAAAGCCAACAGTTGCCCACGTCACCTGGCCTGAACAATCACACTGGGGCTTGTTACCTCGCAGTGAGAAGCTTTTATTTTAAGTAGATACGCGCATTTTTGACATGACAATATTTTACTGGCTGACAAAGATGGATGTCGCGATGTGCAATAGCTTCAGGACCAGTTAAAGCGCAGGCTGAAGAGGTGTGTTGTGCAGCACATGGAGTTTACTAACGGGTAAGGGGTAAGTGCAACCAGGAGCTGCTGTACCCTGGCGCTCTCCTGGAAATGGATGCTTTTCCCTCAAAGCGTTGAGTTTGGAACCTCTGCTAAGGGAAGAAGTCAGTGCTGCTCCAACTCTTTGCCATGAAGATACAGCTTGTCAGACAGCCACATCGTCTGCAGACATCCCTCTGCTTTCTGCAGTCCATTGAATTGCGTGAGCTAACCACCCGTTTGCAGAATCACAGCATTGCCTCAATTGGAAAAGACCTTTAAGATCATCAAGTCCAATCACTAACCAGCACTGACAAGTCCCTGACTAACCCATGTCCCTCAGCACTATGTCCACACGACTCTTAAATCCCTCCAGGGATGGGGACTCCTCCACCACCGAGAAACCTGGAATGCAGTGTGGTAAGAGGATCTGGGCTCCTCACAAGGGGTTTTGACCTACTAAGGTCACAGCCAA